CTCGTCTAAAATTTGGTCAAAATCTAATAATTGGATCCATGAGAAAATTCTGAAACTCTTTTTTTTTATGTATGTTTAGCGATAATTCTTTACCACCTTATTCGATTTCTATGATTCTTTTTTTGTTAGTAAGGGTGTACCTCAGGGGTGGTCGCATCTAAATTTGATTAAAATCTTATAATTGAATTCATGAGAAAATCCTCAAATTCTTTATTTTTTTATGTGTGTTTAGCGATAATTCTTTACCACCTTTTCCGATTTCTATGATTATTATTTTGTTAGAAAGGGGATACCTCAGGCGTAGTTCCATATACAATTGGTCAGGATCTGATTATCTATAAGAAAATCAAAAAATCTCAATTTTTAAGGGCATTTGCACGATTTTGAAGTCGGTTTTTTTATTATTACTAAAAATTTCATGTCCATATCACTTTTGATTTTTAATTAATGATTTTTTTTAATTTTAACCCCTCTTAAATCCCCCAATCTTATTCAGATTTTTTTCCAAATCAAAGATTCTTTTTTCCTTGATGTTTGCTAAATATTTCAAGCAAATATCAGTTTCCGTTTTTGAGTTAGTATTTTTTTTAATATTTTAACCTTAACCCACCAATTTATTCAGATTTTTCAGAATCAGTAGGGTTTATCTTCTCATAAAGCTGAATTTTTGCTTAAAATTTTTAAGTTGGTATTATTTTTCGGGTTTGCCTTATCGCGAAGACAAAAACGTGACATCGGACAGACGGGCGATAAAGTAAACCTATATAAAATAATAATCAAGGTTAAAACAATAATAGACTAAAAATAGGTACAATGAAAGAATGATAAAGTCAGAGTTTTAAAAATTATTTAATTGGCATATCAGTATCTCGAAGGTAAACTGTACTTTTAGTCAACTTTTTGGTAGAGCAGACTGAATGTTATTTGGACACTTTCTGTTTTACATATTTACATATTTCTATTAATTATATTTCGACAATAACTGCACTTTGCTCCAATCATTCATACAATATGTATTATTTACTAATAATCTATTAAAACATTTTTTTTAATATACACGAAATTCTTAGTTTTGTAACATATTTTTGTGTTCTAATAACAAATTTTCTGATATATTGTCATATACCTCCAGCATGCCTCTATAAATAATACTAACGTGAGAGTTAGAAAGTGTTATTTAACTTTTACAAGTTTATTTTTTTAGTCAACTTTTATTGTGACATCACTATACATGGTATAGGGTACCCCTGGAAAGGTCTCGATGAGTTGATTTTAAAATATAATCTTTATAATAATAATAATAATAATAATAATACTCTCCCTAATTCACCCCCTTACGAGTGAATTTTAACCCCAAAAGCTGAGCTTGTCCGGGGAAAGGGACGGCTATTATTATTATTTGCCGTGGCGCTCCGGGGCGACTTAAAGATGATTGATGGTGCCATTTGACTTACAGGTGAGGAAAACCCGGAAAACCTCACCCACCATCATAAACCTCACCCACCATTATAAAAGTGCACTTTGTCGACATAGTTCAGTTTACCTTCCAGGTACTGATATCGGCAAATATTTAATTTATTCTTCATGATATGGGTATATACATAACATAGACACACCTATTTAGTTTCTTGTAATAATTTAGGTCAGTACAATATTTATTTGTTATATTGTCTTTAAAAAAACCGTAATGTATTTAAGTTTAGCTTTTATTTTTTTGTAGATGTGATATAATTTGAGTAAAATTCTCACCACTACATCAGTCTGACACTGTCTATCAGTACAGATAGGTCATATTTCTATAAATTTAAATTCATTAGGGACAACAATCAAAATAAAACAATTATTCAAATAAAATTGTACTGCGCCAAGAAATTATCCCGGTTCAAATAAAATATATAATAAAATTGTTATGCTTCTGTAATATATTCTGGTACAGTGTAGAATGGTAACTGCAATATAAGATCTGTTTAAAGTTAGGTATAAGAGCCCATTTCTTGATGAAACCCAGTCATCGCTTAATTTTGATGGTTTTCTCGTAAGAGAATACCGTTTAGAATAAAATTAAACATAATAAAGTTGATATAGTTTACCTAACACACTCGGATATAATAAAATATTGTCTCTGTAAAGGCTCTTCTGATTATATTTTATCCGTTTACGCAGTTTTCTGTTTTTTAAACTTCGTTTACGTCTTTAGTATGAAACTAAAAACTTTAACAAATTTTTTATTCACTGCATAATACTTACAGTTGAGTGTAAAACACATGACCATTCGAAATAATTCATAGACATTGGAACAAAAACAAAACATAAATTAAAGTCGTAAAACTGAATTATTGTTTAATAAAATTTGTAAATAAACATTATAACTTCAAAAATACTTTTATGCTTAAAATAATGGTAAATGTTTTACCTTGACCTTGGAGACGTTTTTTGGTAACAGTCGTTGAATTGACGCACCTACCTCTGATTAATTAAAGTCGCAGTTTTATTTAAACACAATTTTTTAAAAGACACAATTAAAATTATCCTATGGGGATATGACGTAAAAGTGTTAATGTAAAAGTGCGAACACTTTTAGTATCATCATAGCATCTGCACTTTATTATATATCAATGCTTGTAAAGTTTTGTATGCCCCGCCTTACTTTGTGATGTTACGCATTCATTATACGTGATGCATTAAATAACGTGATTTCAGTGATTTTAAGCAGGCAGTTTATTTCACGGATCTGCTAACGTGTTGACTTTTCTTTTTAGCTACAACCTTTTGCGAAAACCCCTTGCTCCCTCGCGCTCACTCAGATTAGTAAACCAGAGAGACGCGATAAGACAGAGAATAGTAACGTATCAAAAAACAGAGATTAACACGTATGAAAACAATAAAATTATTAAAATTGATTTTATATTTTTATGTTATTCATTTTAAAATGATGTGTTTTTATAAAATGTAACAGGGTAATCACTGCTCAAATGAACCAATAGAGAAGCCGCCCCTGTATTTAGATCTCTTTATCATTGGTAAACTACTTTTGTCACATTTCCTATGCCATGTAAATTACATTATTTTAATATTGTACCGCTGCATGTGAATTAATTATATACAGTATTTTTAATACAAATTCGGATGCATGTCAGATATCATTTATGACGTCACGGCCTTGCAGTGTTGTCGAATCATCAGAATAGTTAAGCAATTTAGACATTTTGAAATTGAAAGGTTATGTTTTCTTTTTGTTACTAGAAAAAATTAATATTTTTAAATGTACATAACTAATGGAAAATATTGATTTCCTTTATGCATAATAAACATCTGAACAAAAATGATGTAAACATATTGTAAATAGTCATGGAAAATAAAACTGTAAGGTATATTGCAGATGAACAAAAATTGGTCCATAATTAGCACAGAAATATCTCAAACTATTTTAATTTCACCAAGAAATTTATTTAACAGAACTACATTTAAGTTATAAACCACAACAACCCATGAAATTAAAAAAATTTAATCTACAAAGGAACGTGAAGAAGTCACAATGTCAGTAGATATCTATTCTTAAAGAATCCAAGATTGGAATCGTTAAAACATTTAAATACAAGAATGAAATCTACTTCTTCAACCCCTTAATTTTAAATAAGGAATGTGCCCTGTACGGCACATCATTGAAAAGGTAATTTTATAAAGAAGTCAGAAATATTACTCTTTATTGCGATACTTTTAATTTTAGCGCCTTCTATCGGGTTAAAAACCTGCAACGTATTATAAAGTGTGACACTTCATTTGAACGCTAATTTAATTACTAATTAAATGCACCACATACCATAATTATAAATATTTTCATATTACACTTGCAACAAAATAAATTTAGCAAAAATGTTTAAAATAATGCATGACTAATTTTCAGACTATTGCAAGTGCTATATGGAGGATATTTATATTAATGTTATGTGGTACATTGAATTAGTAAATAAATTTGTTTTCAAATAAGGTGCCACACGTAGTTTTTATCCCGATAGAGGGCGGTACAATTAAAAATATCGCAATTAACAGTCATATTTCTAAATTCCCCATAAAATTACCTACTACACATTGTAGTATCACACTCTATATTACGTAGTTGTTTTTTATCCCGCTAGAGGGCGATACAATTTAAGTGACGCAATGTACAGAAATATTTCTAAATCCCCATTAAATTACCTTTTCAATGATGTGTCATACATGGTACATTATTTATTTAAAATTAAGGTGTTGGAGAAGTGCAAGGAAGGGGGTTGACACATGACAGATGTCTGTATTGTTAAAATATTTTTAATTTGGAATAAAAATTGACTTATTTTAGCATTTTCTTAAAATTCAATGATTAATGCGGAAAAACAGGATGAAACTGTTTTGAGGGACCCCCACTCTGTATATCAAAAGTAGCTAGATTTATCTAATTAGTTCATAGAAAAGAATCTGCCTAAAAATGTATTTTTTACAAGATGCGCTACACAAGAAAGATCCTCCCAACGAAAAAAAAAAAAAAAATAATGAGCGCAACGCCATCTACATACCTATTTGAAATCAATTTATATCCAAAACTGAAGCTCCCTTAGTGATCTGTGAACTGGCTTTTACTGAATTAAAATATATCTATTACTTACCAAAATATTCGGCCTGGGAATTTTTATTGGTACACCCTGTATACTTTCCTTATCTGTATACAGATAGAAAAGTAAAAATAGTATGTACCTATAAATACAATGCAATTTGACTGGACTTTTTTTAAGTTTGCTATGAATTATAATTTGTTCATTGAACCTTAACGATAAGAAATGCTTACAGAGGCGAGTGTCTACAAGAAGTCAACACTACTTATTAAAATTTGCATATTATTATAGAGAGTTTCTATAGAGAGCGGACTACTACTAGTTAGCTGTTCCCCTTCCTAGTAAAAAGCTATATTTATTAAAATTACTTGTAAAACATTATGTAAAATAAATATCAGTCGGCAGTCGTACGTTTGGCTTAATCAAGAATCGGTTACTTGGTTCCAATTCACTCGCTATGATAAGTTTATAGGTTCTGAAATATGTAAATTATTTAACTAAAAAATATTCATAACATAAAATATCATTAAATTAAATAAATAAGTAGTTTTATATTATTTAGTGTTTTAAAATGGATACAGAAGAAGATCCTGTTGAAGAACTTTTAAAAAATACTCCAGTGTGGGGCAAATATCAACTTTTGGCGTATGTGTCATTAGCATTTGTTTGTAGTTTTTCTGTCTTTCCGTTGAGTTATATATTTACTGCAAGGGATGTAAAGTATAGGTAAGTTTCATATTATTTTTATATGTATTAAAAATATTACGACGATAATTATTGTATTATTCTATATTTTAACCAATTTTACTTTATAACATTTATTTCTAAGTCTTTCAACCAAATTTTATTATGTCTAAATTAGTAAGTAATACAAAGTATACAATGGATATAGCTATACATTTTTAATTTTTTATTCAAATATTTATAATTTGTTAATTCCATAAGTCGCATTTTTATATTTTTATCACTATATATTATATCCTAAAAGATTTGGTAAAATTAAAGTAATTATAACATAGGACGCATCATCGTAAAACGGCATCAGCCTCCCCAACTAAATCCCCTTGAAATCGGTGGCAAAAAAAAAATAAAAAATAGTTTAGTATCCAAAATATTGTTTTGTATTTATTTATAAATGATTTATATCTGATTTTCTACCAAACAAAGATGACAGTCGGAAACAAAAATAAATTTTGTAATATATTCAAATATCTCCAAAATGCTTTATTAAAACAAAATTTACAAAAATTATTAGTTAAAGAATATTCTTCTTCAATCATAAATAACAGAAATGTAACAAAAAGTACCAACACGACTCCTTATAAAGTAACCCCGCAGTTACTCTGAGCATGCTCAAAATCTAATAGCTCTTTAGAGGCCCCTGGAAACGTTATATTCCAAATTCCATCCAAATTGACGGGACATTTTGAGCTGTATTGTGCTAAAAAAAAAAAAACATTACATGCAGACGTACATCTTTACATTTTTTAAAAACTTGTTATTTGGGTTGCTGGGACCCCAAAACGTAAAGATCTGCTGTTATCTCTAATTCGGGAGTGATTGCAATAATCTTCCCATTTTTATGAGTTGGTTAAAAAGGCTACATTTTTCTTAAGGGCCTTATTATTTATTAGTGCCACTTTTATTGAATAGACAATGACATTTCTGTATTTTTTTAAATTAATTAAAATGATACATTTAAACTCATCAATCGAAAAAAATAGTGTGCAGACTTGTAATAAAAAGTTCCTTTTTTAGAGAAGGTTCAACAGGATTCAATATAAAGTCTATCGCTAATTTCTTGAGAAAAAAAAATTCTGTTAATTTGGAAATACCATTTATATTAAAACTATATAACCGTTTTTATTTATCAAATAACTTGGTACCAAATGCCCTTTACGGTTATTGATAGAATTTTTATTCCATTTAATTTTTATTTCCATATCCATTCAGTTAAATTACCCCCAAATTAACTTTTCGTAAACTTGTGTATGTTCCACAAGCCCACTGATTCAGGTTTTATTAACTTCTTCTGTCAATCTTGTCATGTTGAGACATTATTTCTCTACATATTTGATGGGAATATCCTAGTCGTTCTTTCTTAACTGTTGAGGTTTCAAAACCTGTTCGTTTGTAATAGTGACCCATAAAAAGTAAGCGGTGGCTAACAAAGACTGATCTAAGTTATTTTCTTGATTACTATGCACGGTTCTAAATTAGATCTAAACTAATACTTAAAAAAAAGAAGAATAAGTGTACGCTACGACATTCGTGAATTTTTCCAAGGCAGTCTAGACTATAAAGTCTATAAACTTCGTATCCATAACTTTCCCTCATTTGCATAAATAGCCTCTATTTTTCTAAAAATAATCCATTTTTGGGAAGTAGCTAATACATGAAAATGATAAATTCATTACAGATCCCCAAATAAATCCTAAGATTACCCCTACAAAATAATGAAAATAAGTTTTAAACCCCACAAGGTGAAAACAGATTATTGATAAATTGAAAAACTCTGTGATAGTTCAGTCGGTAATAGCGGCGTGAGTAGTACACGGATAAGTGGGTTCGAATTCCCCCGAAAAGAGAAATATTTTTAATTTTTTTTTGTAAAGATAATATTGGAATTTGTTTGGAGATTTCATAATAATTTATATTCCTTAGTTCTCTCATCTTTTACCCATAAGTTTCCAGAACATTTAAAACCGATTTTCTCACTAATTCATGAAATTTAAGGTTAGAAAGAGCTCTCTAGTAAGTAATTTCAATATTAGGAAAAAAAATTCCAATTAAAAGGGAAAGGGTTGTACCTTGGGACCTATTTTACTCCTCCAGTTATTGTGCTGACATCTTTTGTTTGAATACAAAACGTTTTAGCTCTGAAGAGGTTACTATAATTGTAGGCAACTGTTAGCGAACAATCAGTTTTGCCAACATCATTGCGTAGACCACTTCTAATTATTGTTCAAGAAGTTGATGATTATTGTCCCATGGTACAACCTTTGGTTTTACATTGGGGCAGCGTATATCATAGTTTTTATTATGTTAATATATGTCATAACTTTAGGTAGTATGTTTTTGTTTTTTATTACAAAAATATGTTAAACATAATTCATACTTATTTCAAATTAAGATCCTGTGGGAATGAAATATTAAAGAAATGAAATCCACGACATACTGTTGGAGTAGGTAATATTTTCGTTATATTGCACATATTAACACTGCTGATGTCGTCGACGCTGTGTTACAAAATGGGTTCTTTGCTTCCTGAGAAACTTTATGGTCACATCTGGTCCAGATTTGTCTTGTTCTACTTCTAATCCAATGTAGTAAACATCTCCTTTAGTTTTACCGGCGATTTGAAATTAAACTAGCACCCAGCTGCCTTTGTAGAAAATCAGCTGATCTTCGTTAGTTTGAAAGCAATTAGAGGAATTTTAATCTTCAGAACTAGAATAGAACCGACTCCTGAGCTATTGCCAGGGTCAGGTAATTCTTCATCAGATGAGGATGATGAAAATTCTATAGCTTTTTCAGCAGCTTCTCTCTTTGGGCATAACTTGCCTTTCTTACCCATTTTCTTTTCTATTCTCTACTTCTCTGGCATGTCAGTGGGAATCCATACACCCCCCAGGTTTTTGTCCTCTACTATAAGATTTCCTTGGTGGTGCTTTGGAAAATGGACGAATTTGTTGCGGAGTTGCAGCTATAGATAGTTTCAATGCACTGCTTGTCGAAGATGTCTCTCTTGATTGTTCTCTGTTATTTTGTCTCTCCTCACTTTCATCCAGCAGTTGGACATCAGCTGCTGCTGCAGGGTATGCTCTTTTTGTCATTTTAGCAAGTACAAACTCATCGTCTCCGAACACTTCTGCAATAAAGGGCTAGATGCCAACAGCCCTGAATACCGCGGTGGTGTTATTTGACGTGAATGCCAGAGGGAATGCTTTTCCCAACAATGCGAAGATGTCGTAAATAGAAATAGGCTTTCCGGGGTGGTTGATCGCCCAATACTTTGCAGATTTGATATAAAAGGCTTTGAGAGGCTTAAAGATAGACCAGTCCAGTGGCTGGAGTTTATGGCTAGTGTGGGAGGGAAACGTGAGAAAAACGATGCCGTTTTTTTTCGCCAAATTTATCTCTTCCAATGAAAGGTGACTTTCGTGATTATCCATGATAAGTAACACTTCATTGCCACGAGAAGACTGAACCACAGAGATAAAGTGTTTCAGGGACCAACCACTAGAAGTTGCCATACCAAGGGTACCGGGTGCTGCATTGTTATTCATGTATTCTTTGTAATAAACACGAGAAAATATGATGGCTGGGGGAATAAATGTTCCAGCAGCATTGATGCAAACTATCACCGTTACATTTTTTCCACGTTCTCCAGAGGTATCTGCTCCAATTTGTTTGGTCTTTATGTTACTTAACACACGTGACGGCGTATGAACCGTAGAGCAACCCGTTTTGTCAAGGTTCCACACGTTTTGAGGTTGAAAGGAGTACCTTTCAAAGATTTCTTGGAGCTTCTCAAAAAATATTTCACCATTTGGTTTGTTGAAAGATGCCATTCGACCTAGGCTAGTAGACTCCGGTTTTCGTAGAGATATTCTATTTTTACATGAATTACGAAAAGTTGAACACCACTGTCTTCCTGCGTATCCATGTTCTTTCCATTTTTCTGGATATTTGTTTCGGCATATTGGAAAGCTAATTTTTTCATTTCGTCCACGGTCAAACCAAAGTTCCATTGTGCAGCCGTTAAAATATATGAAAGAAGTTCTTCTTTTTGCTCAACGGTGGAGACCTTTTGCGTCGCATTGTTTGCTTTATATTTGAAATCAGTTTGACCTGTGGCTGGCAAGAGTGCTTTTTGATATATATTTTCGCCACTTCTCGCACAGACTGTTTGTGGGAACATCCTTAACAGCTGCCTCAATATTTTAGGCTACTGGTTTCGTCCTCTTTCTTCCTAAGGTACTTCTGCCCATATGTAACAGTGGTGAAATTGCAATTTATTGTAAAATTTATTTATTTTTTATTGCAAAAAAAAATATTTACTTAAAAGGTTGTACCTTCGGACACGTCTCAACAACCTAGCACACTTGACAAAATGAATATCTTAACCTTAAAAAACTAAATTACTTTTCAATATTTTCTTGCATGGTCTGCTTGCTTAAACAACACTTCGACAGTACTGTATGGAGTAAAGTGAATAAATTATGCTTACCTTGTTTGTTTATGAGCTGGGAGTTACCGCAAGATTTTACATTCAGGGTGCGAAAACGATAAATCTGATATTTGACCTCGAAACAATGACTGAAATAGAATGGTAAAGGATGGTAAAGGATAGTGTTGGTAACATAATATGTAGTTCTGAGGGTTACCGCTAGATTGGTTGAATTTTGAGAGCAACTGTCCCAAGGTAAAACCGTCCCAAAGTACAACCCTTTCCCCTAAAAGTCACAAATATTTCATTTTATTTTTTTTATATAAAATATTGTGAATTATTTAAAATTCTAGGTCCCATATTAAAGTAAAATCATTTAAAATGTTTGAAAATATATCATAATTAATTATTCAAAATATTAAAAAAAAAAAATTAAATTAAAAATCCTAAGCGATCCCGAGAGAAATAATTTTTTATTCTGCCCAAACATATGTCTAGGTAAGCTCGATGTATGTACCAAAGGTTGTCAAAATAGGATGAGGGCAAATCATAA